AGCGTTCTTCAGTAGAACTATAAATTTAAAACTACCCCCACATTGTAGATGTTATTAAGTTGGAAACTTGATCACCAAAAACATATCCTGAATTTGTGTCCTGCCCTTGCTTTCTGGCTACATTGTATGTTTTCTCTTTACCATTTATGGCTTCATGACAGTAATTATTCTTATTATCAGCAGAAGCCATTTTTGTTGCTTCGTAAGTAAATATCTTCTACCCTAACTTTTTGTTAAAATGCAAAGGCTTCTATCATGCAGTTGTTACATATGTGGCAATTGTTATGATTACACCCACACATGTATTTGTTATTTAAACTATAAAATCCAACATATTCAAATGCTGCTAACTCAAGAGTATTTCATGGATTGATTGGAGAAATCAGAGATCAATAAGATAACACTAAGGAACAGTCCTAGTTTTACAGTGAAATGTTAGTGGCTTACTGTTATTTAAGTGGATTCCCAATGTTTTCAGAGCATTTTTTTTCTGTCTTTTGCATAATAAATCTCCCACAAGGAACAGAGTATTTAGCAGTTTGCTGAATGTTAAGTATTTGGAATTAAAAAGCACTTTTTAATTTGACATTAAATAGAATCCTTTCCCTTCCCCATCTCTACCTCCACACATGCCCCCTCCCCCACAAAATAAATAAAGTTTTTCCAAATCTTTTGCAATGTGAGCTGCTCCCCTCCTGGGAATGAAAAGGATGTTAGAGTCTTTTGATGAATTGCGGGCACTTATGTGTATCCACACTTTTCAATATCCTTTTTTTTTTAAACTGGACTTAAGCTGCCTAAATTTTAATGCTTCTTTTGTAAAGATGATAAAGAGAGCAAAGATTTCTATTGGCTTAGCCCTAATCTGTGTGCTTTGTTGTGACTCTTATTTTTTTTCTTCTTCTTTTAACTGTTAACCTATTTATAAATCTAAATCTACATCCAGAGGTCATTGGTTGGCTGAACTTAAACCATTTTACTCAGTAAATTTAATTAAGAAAATACAGTGCAACTCATAAGCAAATGAGTTTTTTCTTAGTTTTAAACCAAACCACCCTCTTGAGTGCTGATTGCCTTGCCCGACCCCTGGTGATACAGAAACAGGCAAAATTAAAAAGGACATTAAAGCTTCATTAAATCTGAAACACATTTAGTACAGTGACATATCTGCAGGCCATTTCAGAGAAGATTACATACTCTCTTTTGTAAGTTTCCTAATTTATAATACCTTGACAATAAAAACTGGGGAAATGCAAGTAGATTAATAGACCAGTAGGGGTAAAAGATACAGAATGGCCCCAGGTCTGTCTGTCTCTGAAATACTCACTCATATAGCATATGTGCTCCCTCTTCCCCATAAGGGTTCAGTGTTTATTTTGACTTCTGACAGCCTCAGCCATATCTGCTACGAGCCCTTTTCCTTTTTTACCTTCTCCTAATTGAACTTGATAAAAAGGTTCTAGGCCCTGGCTATCTGTTTCCTTCTATTTTGCCACAAGACAAATAGCGTGGAGCATAAACACTGCAGCCGCATTAAACCTGAAAGGACAGAGACGTGCATGGAAGGCAGCTCCCTCTCCTAGGGCCTTGAAAACGACTGCTTCTGGTGCCAGGCTCATAGGATTGCTGCCAGTTGTCACTGGCGCAGAACTGGAATCCTTGGCCTGCCCTTGGAGCAGCCCAGTGGTGACACTGTGAGAGAGGGAATGCTGGCTGTGCTGCTCTGGTCAGGGACAAGGAGCCCTTCTCTGTCCCCTGATACAAAAAGAGATCAGACCTACAAGATGCCTTAGAAGCAGTTCTCCCAGGAATGTAGTTGACAGGTAAGACTGAGTTTCCGCAGGATATCAGGAAAACGCACAGAAGTAAAGCCAGTCCCTAGAATGAGTTCGCTAGTTCGAGCGCCGCCACCTGTTCCCAAGCAGGCTGGTGCAGAGAGGCTCCCAGCTGAATTTCTCTCTATTCTCTTGCATGAAGGTCTCTTACAGAGTAAACGAGTGACATCCGCCAGCCTGACTACCTCTCACCAGTTGTGAGAAGGGGCCGAGTAGATGAGTGCACGTTCCCAAGTCAGCTGTAGCCTCACCTCTCCATAGGACAGTGATGACTTGAAAATTGGAGGCTTTGTGTTAAAGTGGAAAAGGTTCACATTTTTTACCTTATCGCACTGTTTTTTTTTTTAAAGCCTTCCATTTATCATTGCTTAGTTCTTTAATCTGCAAGAACCAATGGCCAGTTTTGGCACCAGCCAGGTAGTTTGGACCTTAACTGTATGTTTGGTGGGCAGGTTTATCCTGCTGGTAAGCAACGTGGACAGAATTCTTCCACGGGCCCTAATGACATGTTCGACATGTGCCAGAGTGCATGGCGCAGCACCTGTAGAAGGGCTTGAAAGAGAATATTCTGAGTATTTTCTAGCAGTTATTAGGCTGTTAGCTTTTTCAGATGAGAGACCCTCCTCTTGGTACTTTCCTAACTCAAAATGGAAGAATATGCAAAATTCGTAATCCACAGATCAGTGAGATGAGAGGTGATAGCTCTTGATCTCTATTTTATTTATTTCCTCCATGATCTTTATAATTTTTTCCTTCTGCTGACTTTTGATTTTGTTTGCTCTTCTTTTTCTAATTCTTTTAGCTGGTAGGTTAGGTTGTTTGAGATTGTTCTTTTTTTGAGGAAGGCCTGTATCGCTATGAACTTCCCTCTTAGTACTGCTTTTGCTGCATCCCATAGATTTTGTGTGGTTGTGTTTTCATTGTCATTTGTCTCAAGGTATTTTTTAATTTCTTCTTTGATTTCATCATTGAACCATTGGTTTTTTAATAGCGTATTGTTTAGTCTCCATGCTGTCATTGTTTCCTCATTTGTTTTTCTGTGGTTGATTTCTAGTTTCATGCCATTGTTGTCAGAGAAGATGCTTGGAATAATTTCTATCCTTATAAATTTGTTGAGGCTTCTTTTGTGCCCTAGTATGTGGTCTATCCTAGAGAATGTTCCATGAGCACTTGAAAAGAATGTATATTCTGTTTTGGTGGGATGTAATGTTCTAAAAAAATCAACCAAGTCCAACTGTTCTCTTGTGGGTGACAGCTTTTGGTGAGCTGTCACTGTCAGTTCAGTACAGAATGGTGCAAACACCTAGTCCACCCATGACTGCTGCAGTAGACCACAGTGGATCAGTGTGCATCATCTCATTGGCCAGAAACACACTATATTTACAAAATGTAAGTCAAATTGATGGCCTATATTGGGTGGGGGTGGAGTGGGGACAGCGGAGAGCTGAGTCCCTTTCCTTCCTGATTAATAACAATATATAGACAACAAGCATAATTACATGAGATGGTGAAGGGGAGTTTAACATCCACACTGTCTTTCCTTCACCCCATCTTTTGATGTTTTTGTTATTCATGCTTGAACAGATTAATTTCATCCACCAAGTGAAATAGTGATAATATAATTCTGTATCTTGAAACTCTGAGAATTCTGAGTACAAGGTAACAAAACTTACCAAGTGTTCCAAAACATACACACACACACACACACACACACACACACATCCAAATGAGTGTTGGCTCTTTCAAAGTAGTCACCTTTCATGGTCATACGGTTTATTCCTATTACATGGCTGTTGCTCAAACTGGTTTTAGAATTTAAAAAATTAACCTCAGCACCGTCATGTCTATCCTTAGTAAGGAACAAAATATTTATTCTTTGAAGGTGGCTTTGGGTTTTGGTAATACCTGTAGACCAATCAGACCTTAGTCAACAAATAATTCGCATGATCGAAAAAGCAGAGAAATACAATTTTAAGTTCGAGATAAGAAGCAATTCTAATAAAATTAAATCATTGTCGTCTGTTATTTGAAATGATTCTAAAGACAGTTCCAAAAAAAGAGTTCAGAAATATTTAAGTAGTGTTAGTGTCTTTGAAATAAATGCACAGCTTCTCAAGATCTAGAAAAGAAATGTCATACGCTGAAAAGAACACCGGATTAAGTTGGAATTCTTGGGTCAGTCCCTAGGCTTCTGCTGATTAACTATGTGGCAACATCTTCAGTGAGACTCTGGGGTTCTAATCTGTAAATGGACTGATATTTCCTTGGCTCCTGCAGCTTCAAAGTTCCTTGATGTGACAATTCTACTTTGAAAATAGTTACAGATACGTGTAAAGGATTTCAGGTCTGAGGATGGGCCACATTATGAAACTGCAAAATTTAGCCACTATTTTCTTTAAGTAAATTATGGTACTTTGGGGTTTTTGATCTTATTACTTTTATCGGTCCTGTTCCTGGTTGAATCATTTTGTTTTCACAGGTGGGCATTCAAAGACCAAAATTAAGTGAGTGGCCAGGAAACACATAGCAGTTTCCAAATCAAGCAAAACTGGAAGCTCTAAGAATTCACTTTCCCAATTTCAGACTTAGGTGGATAGTTCCAGCTTCACAGCCTTGAAATGCCATTTTCTCCCTAGTAGTAGCTCTTCTAACTACGAATGGATGAAAAAAACTAAAAAATAGATGAAAATAATGGCAAAACTTTCGGTTTCATACGGCCCATCCCCTATATCCTGCAACTCTTCCTGTAATACTTGTAACCGGAAATTCTACAGAGCTGTGAGCTAGGAACAATTAATATTTTACACGAGGAAGAGCCAGCAGTCTCCTATAGTTGTACATCTCAGTCTGGAAGAAATTGTCATACACTTGGACATGTGAGTAATGTCGGTAGAGCTGAGCACATTCCTGGGAGAAACCACATAAGGGTCATGTGTAGTTGTTAAAGGTAAAATATTTTGTCAGGGATACAACATTGTCTAATGTAAATGTCCATTCTAAATACAACTCTCAATGTAATTACAGCAATAATTTACATCATACATTTAAGGTTGTGAGCTTTTTGTATTTGCTGTATACAATTCTGATATTTAGTACTTGTCTGTCTTAAGGAAACCTGCCCTGCATGCAAATCTATAACTAGACAAATATTATTTCCTTTCCCAGCTTGCTCTTGGGAGGTTTCCATATCCTCAGGTAAGATTGTTCATTACTGCCGTTTGCCACTGTGACATTCATTCCTATGTATGAAGGTGCAGGGAGCAATTGTGAACATTTGAGCCACATACAAATAAATCTGTCCTGTTAAATTGAAAAGTGATATCTTAAAGCAGTCGTTTAGAAGTCTCTATTGATTTTGATTTTTTTTTTAAACTCCAGATCTTTCTCCTCTTTGTTAAGGGTTGAAAGCCTTCATCGTTCTCTTCCTTTGTGTGACATGGGTGATGTTTTTCCTCATCCCAGCCCGGTACCATGTGCTCATACTGAGGGTGAAGGAGAGACACAGCCTTTTCTTTATACACTATTCGAGTGTTTGGATTCAATTAGTTATTTGAATTAAAGGATTGAGGTAAAGGGTGAAAATGTCTAATCTAGGTCATTATTTTTTGCAAATATTTGCAATTTTATGTGCGTGTGATTTTGAACATATTCTTATTTTTAAAAGTGCCCTCCCTATCTACATTTCTAAGAAAACAAAGTGTCCATTATGTTACCACTGCTGATGATAATCTTTATAGTAATTTCTTTAAGACTTTTATTATGGAAGGGTGCTCCACTTAAAATATAAAGCTGTTTTGTGGTTTGAAAATGATTCCCCAGTGTGTGGGGGGAAATAAGTGAAATGTCTAGAGGGATGAAAAATGAATGATTTGACTGTTTTCCTCTGGTTGACGCTCACAGTTTTTCTGGCATCTTGGTCTGTACAGGCCAAAGTGCCCGGAGGCATGTCTGATTTAAAGGTGGTGTTGGTCTCTGCTCTTTAAGCATCTATTAACTTGCTATTATTATGCAAATAAGTGTTGTATTACACATACTAATTTATGCATGGTTAGATTATGCAGATGCATCACAAACATGGTTATTGAATAATGGGATGGGGCTCATTCTCTCTACCATCGTTATAAGCAGTTTTAAACAAATTCTCCTGGTACCCATGTGGACGTTTAAAGACCCTTCACACGCTGAAATGTCTCTTTTGTATCCTTTTTCTTTTACAGTTAAAGCCATCAGATAAGCGCGAGAGAAATCGTCCAGGTTGTTAGGTTCGAGGGTGTCAGTCTCACCTTTCAAATTTGTAGGCTTCTTTGTTTAAACATAATCTTTCCCTTAAAGAGAAAATCTAAAATGTAATGGCTTGGCACGCATGCTTGCATCTAGTGAAATTTTAGTGTAGACAGCCTTGCTGCTTAGCTCTAGGTAGCCCATCAAATTAAAATCACATTTTCAGGATTTATAGCTCATTAGAATATTTATCTTGGTAAGCCTCTTATTCTGTCAGTAATTTTTAAACAATTCACTGTTTGGCCAATTTGTGTAATCCCCTTAATTTTGTAAATAAGAAGCACAGTGCAGCATGTCTCTCAAACAAGTCTTAGTAGAAAACTTGCAAGCCATCTGTTTTAAAAAATGCCAAAGGTTGAGAATGTCGCTGTATTCTTGAGTTTCCTAATGCCTAGCGTCCTTAATCAGCGAGATTTGCCAAGTGATAAGTCTAAGAAAAAGATCGCCGTTGCATTTGACAAATGCAGCTTTTAAAGGCTCTGGTCGAAATTGGGAAGAGCCTGTCTACCTTTGCAGCATTGTTTTCTGGAATGTTTAAAGTATACATTTACTTAATCAGTCAAGTGGAAGTTGGAAAATTCTAATGCGCTGGACTCCCAAGTTAGCAAGCACCGTTATGCCAGAGTTGGGGGTGGGTGCGGACTGTATTCCTTGAGTCGTGATAGAATATTGTCACCAAATTGGGAATTGTATTTCAAATAATAGAAGCAGCTTTGACACCATCAGGCCTGTTTCCCAGGTCTTTCAACAGAAGTTTGTGCACTTCATTGCTCTTGGTGGAGTTGGCGTTTATTTTACAGGCTTTGTGCTGTAGACTGAAGATTGGG